TTTGCATAGTGCCGAACGGCTCTGTGGCTATGGAGAATATACAGACATGAAACATGACCAAGAGGACGGGCTATACTGTCAGAATATGGATGGAGAAATTCTTCAAGCAATACACCGTGACGAGATGTTACAGCGGGCAATTCATAACGAGAGAGTTAATCCAGATCGAGAGACCATAATCTTTTAGCAATTTGATGTGAAAGTGGGCAAGGCGCAAGGCGTTTCCGGTCCGGGCAATTTTCCCTATCTATTCTTTCATGTACTTACTCGGCCTATAAAGCTTGATGGATACGTAGTAGTGATATTTCAAGGATCATACACTCGTATTGTTACGGCGAACGTCCGAGTAGTCTAACGCCGTCTCCGAAGGGGAGTCGAAGGGAGGCATGGATGGGATTCGGAGGCGAGACGAGGAGGAGACGAGAGAAACAAGTGTATAGCTAACGAGCTGAATTCTGAAAACTAGAATAATGTGCGAATAACACAAATTGCGAAGCTGGGGAATTATTACAACGCGTACCCCGCCTCTCAAATACCCAGATGATTATTAACTATTTCCTAACCCTAGCCTATAATGGTATCGCGTTTGCCGATCACCGCTGCAAGCCTTAGTAAGCCTGCTGAGCCATAACACGTATCATGCCTCTTGGGAGCCGAGCTTTTGCCTAATACGAAATTTATAAAATATAATATCCTACTTCGGTGGCAGAGGCAAGCTACCTAACAGAACAGAACAGAATTGTGGGGCTATCACATTGACGCAGGTGAAACAGTGGGCTCAAGATATGGTCCCGGCCAAATATATTGGGCAAAAAGACGTTGTAGTAGATATGAATGGACTGTAGTAACGTATTCCATGGGATATGGGAATATCGCCTGAAGACATGACAAGCGCTACTATCGCTAATAAAGATTAAACGTTAAGGGAAAACATCACAACAAGCTGTATGAAGTCTGAACAGCTGTCTGCATTTTATCCACGAACTTTTGGTTCAGATGTTTTCCCAGAACCAAGTTTAATTGTATTGCTAAATTCGACTGAAGTTGATGCAAGAGACAACATAGTCGATTCCCACCAAAGCATCATCCAGCCTACACATTCGACCTACTAAAACCTGATTACTATGAAGACACGTATCGTCGACTCAGTCTATAGCCCCAAACGACTTCAAACACACGCCCATGTCGATACTAGTAACGACTGGCGGAAATAAATCGTGTGGCTCATATCTAAGAGGTAAATCTTCGGGATTGACGTGGCACAGACCAGGTCAAGTATACGAGATGATGCAAACGGTGGATACAATATTGGAAAAGAGGCTTCATATCGAGAAATATACGCTACAAGACTCTGACTGCGAGAGTGCAGGCGACACTATAGATATCGCCATGGTTGTAAAGTGCAGTGGTACATCATCTAGACTGGTCTACCAAGTAAATTCTGGACAGCTTGGAAACCGATCCGACTTGAGACAGGAGATTGCTGGTTCCAAGCCAGCAAGACTGAATCGCATTTCTCGCAGTGTTTGTGTGGTTGTATCAAGCAAGGGTTTGAGTTTCTCCTGGTTTGGTACTCGCGAAGGAGGGTCGACTGTTCTGTGTGGGCGAACATACCTCATAAGGGTATTTGCGAATGACACACATAGTATAATTATGTTGGAATATAATATCTACCTGGATTTAGTTGAATTCGGTGGGTCTTATTATGATTGGTATATAATTTGGGAATGTACACTTGCGCTGGAACAGCTTAGATGGTTTGTGGAGAGATATCTTCATTAATTTGCAGAAAAGAAGTTACTATGGTAATTGCTATGTTACAGATTGGGGGAAGCTCGTTCCTTATCCCCTAGCTAGTTCGCTTGCAGACCGATCGCGTAGCCAGTATGCAGCTCACCAAAGTCTGCTCCCAAATGAGCAGACATGTCATTTGTCCAATATCAATAACCCATCTCTCGTACTGCACATACCACTACTTGTAAAGTCGTTATGTAGAGACTGGATCTCCTTCATGCGTCATATTAACTATCTATACATAAGCTACTAGATCTACCATACTATATAGCTGAGTATAATAATTCTTGCATTGCATTGCCTTATTCTTGATTTGTGGGTTCTGACATTCGGATAATGATTTATTCGAATAAATGAAACAGCAATTCTACATCAACATGACATACACGGATATTTTATGAACCTAGAGGGCAAAGACTGATAATTTGTCGGCGGTGCCCTCTACGAACCTGGGAGTAAGATATTTCGCCAGAGCCGGGGTCAGTCAGATTCCGCAATGCGAAAGAAGTTGGCCTGCGAGGCAATGATTCAAACTACTCCGCCACGTCAAATTTTCACTGCCAACGAGACAGACTCCTATCTAGGTCTCATCAAATCTACAAGTACGACCTAGTACATCCTCGTTCCGATGACCACACCTCTTATCGACTATTCTCTGGCCACCGAATACACGCCCACGCCGATATTTGTATCCGACGCAGGAAAAGAAGCGAGGCACACAAATCTGGAAGACTGTTTTTTGGGACAGACGTGAGAGGGATCAGGACAAGTTCACAAGATGATGCAAAGAAAGGATAAAACTTCGACGAGCATGAATTTTGGAATTTTGGCAAGAGTTTTACGAATTGAGCTTTGTGTGCGCCAAGACTTCGCTTGCGAGAGTGTAACTGACACTATAAAAACAAGCCAACGATGTAAGGTGTTGTGGTCCGCCTCCTGGTGGTGTTCTCCGGTATAGTTTAAGTAGCCTGGGCACCTACTCTACTTGGGAAGGAGGCAACTCGGTCCACATGTGGTGTGGACAAAATTAAATGTATGATAGAGGCATGTCTGGATACCTCAGGGTTTTTGAGACGTACCCCTGGATGGATATTCACGGATGAGGGTTGACTCAGGGTGAAGAAAAAGCCACCATAACTTTGCAGTGGTACTTGCAAATGAAATCTGAGGCATGAGTGATCTTCTAGTATATTGAGTCATAGCTAGATAACTGCATACGCAATCAAAATCTGATGTAAAAAAGGTTTTATGGATATCTAATTCTTCTAAACGACAGTTCGAACTACCTACAAGATTACTCTCATGACCACAAATGATCTAATAGACTTTTAATGTATGATATTTATCATAGCATCAGAGTGTCTTTAAAGTCAAACTAGTGAGCCAGAGTTTAAACATAGCACTGATCAGGAATCCTAGCTAGGTATCTAAATACAGATTAGATGATAAGACTGATACAGAATCGCTCAGCTGCCTAAAAATTTAGCAAAATACTTTCTACCAACCTAATAGCCAATACCACTCAGACTTACAAGTGAACAATGATCATACTTCTATTCAGCTATCCGAAACCCTTCTCTATTAACAGCAGCCTACTTATCATTCAATTTCCGTCAATACTCAAATTAAATTTTATAAATCTCCATACTACTTTTCCCAACACGTTTTGTCCAAAACTGGAGTCTCGTAATGTTCATTGTAGTGTCTTCCTGTTTAATGATTTGAGTGTTGTGGCCTAACGCTTTTCAACCTCGGACTTCATGATGACCACTAGTTGCATAGCACGTAATGCCATGCGGGGGAGAAGGAGCAGGATGGCGAAAGCCGCTAGCCAGACCTAAGCGATTTGGCGCAATTGTAGATGGAGAATAGACAACCCCTACTATTACGATAACAATAGTAAGGAACTCAAACATTCACACCTCAGTTACCTCATACACCGCGACCCATGAACCTCTAACTCATCTCCATCACTAAACGTCCTACCTTCGACAATGAGCTTGTCACTGCTTGCACAGCTCCGTTGGGCGCCGAGTCGGGTAAACGAATTCAGGTTGAATACCTACTTTGGCCTTGCAAACTCTTCCAAAGAAAGACAGAGAATGTTATGATCTGAAATCCTTCAGCAAAACATGTAAGCTGCGGTAGACGATATACAGACCTATACAAGATGGGGTTAGTGTTATGAAATCACGGACAGTTATATGTGGATGAGATTGGAAAGAATGTAGAATATTCTACTATCAAACAGATAGACGAGCTATGTGTATCAATAAGAGTATTTTCCTTCATATAGATAGGAATAAGATATATAACTAAGAATAGTAGTTGTACAGATAGATTCATCTTTATACTACAAACAGTATCTCCAAAGGCTTAGTTACAGGGCAAATACTCTCTCCACTACATGACCGCTCAAAACCATAGAACCCCATTATGCCCTTCCTGCGTAGATTATGAATGCCGTTCAAACTCGTCCCTACAATGATTACTCGTTGTGCATCAGCTTGGAGGTCTTTAATTTTTGTCGGGCCTACATGACAGCAAGGAGTTGGTATAGACTATAGAATATTACGCGTTCTCCATTATGGCTTTTTAGTCTCCCTAAGAACACGCGCGGTCTTTCTTGAGGCACCAGTGATTAACGGGGCTAAATAGAGGCTTAGAGGACTAAGAGTACTTCCAATAGGCGCACATAGGTCTACAGCTTCCAGCTTGATCACTTGTTTGATACCTTGTTAGTACGGCCATTCCTTGTGATGAATAATAATCTTGCTACAAGTAGAGCCCTAAGCTGGGTAATTTTTAGAGTTTTCACGGCTACAATGGACCATCATGTAGCCTCAATTTTGCTTTTTGGATGGCAGGTGTAGTATAGGTATAATAGAGGATATACCATCCGAGGCACCGACTGTATTAAAATAAATATTGGAGCTCCAGCCAATTGGAATACTTAGTAAAGCTGTTAGCTGTACGTTTTCCATATTTGATGTCTCGTAGTCTTGGACTACATGTTCCTTTGTTCAATAATATGAGATCATATGGACTCAATTAGTCATTACCTTTTTGCGCTCGTAATAGAGTTTGTAATTGGGCGCTCAGGTCCCGACAGCTTGTGACTCGAGCGAGACTTGATATGCCGTGAATTGCATGGGTTCTCCGATCTCACAGAGACCAACAAGTAAGAAATACACCACATCGGCTCCTCACTTTCTACCTGTTATGTTTTGACGATGGAAATGAGTTATTATATACTGAACTTGGATAAGCTGTAGACCAGGTAATTTACGCATGGAATCCACGAAACTCTCATCTAACATGTGACATGTACCTGAGAACTCGCGGGTTGAGTAGACGAATAATTCGCCATACTCAGGATTAGGACACTGGAAAACTTCGTACTTTGCTTTAATCACCATGGATAATGCACAAAAGGTGTGATATCGTAGGGCTAATCAGTTACAGTACAGTCATTTGACGCCGTAGCGCCGCATTCAGGTATTCCGATCCAAAGTCAGTGCAGCGCTTTCGAAAGGGTATCAACTATTTTTCCAAACTTTCTCATGTTTCCAGATTGATACTCCGACCAAACCTTGCGTATAATTGGATTTTAAGTTCCCTCATTTCTGACCGGATACTATCTAGTTTGAGCTCTACTTCATTTACCTCCTCTTCGACCCTACTCGTTGATGTAGAAAGCAACTCCTGGACTTCAGGTAGAGGAAGGGAAACAAAGAAGTCTCCGATTTTGTATCTGATCTGGTCAGCTGGCATGTTCTCAGGGAGCAGGACTGACTGAAAATGTACGAAATCTTATCATCATCATCAGTCAGCTCTAGTTCGTTTGAGATATCCTCAAGATCTTCTTTTTCTTTCTACGATGGTCAGGTAAATAATACTAAACTGATGTTGTGCTAACGTACGTGCTTCGATTTGAGCTCTTCCTCTATAGAAATTTCCTTCTGATGCAACCGACTGAACTGGTTGATCTTGTCTTGATCTTCTCTACGCACCTCGACCTCGTCAACACCTGACTCGTCTTCTTTGGAGAGCTGATTATGTTAGCTATTGACCATTGACGGCGAAAAAGGTACCATTCGTCGCTGCATTTTTTAGATTTCGTAGTCCAGTAGACTAGTTTTGTGGAAGAGACAATAACTGCAAGTTTTTGGCATTAACTGATAAAAGTTTGTTCGCGGTATGCTCGCATCAGGTGATCAGATCCGTTGTCACGCTTAAGCAAAAGATGAGTCTTTATGACAAGAGTAATGTAGAAACTACAGTAATTGGGAGTACTTTGTTAAACTGGGTGGTGTAGCGGTACAGAATCCAGTTGAATCTCTTGTGTAAACCTCGCACGTCCTGCACAACTTTAAGTCGAGTCTTGAAAAATTATTTAGTTCTTCCACAAACTTTACACTAAAACCGGACTCTCGGACAAGAGTGATGATGATGTATTCGAGCCCTAGTCACGGTCACAATGGCTAAAAGTTCGGAGAACATATTACCTGAATCTATCATCAAGCCGTGAAAGTCCTCCATGTACAAAGTTAAATCTGATTTTTCGAGATACTCATGTCCAAGGAACATATTGAGTTGGTTCTTATTGTGCTACCCGAGTCAGAAACCATCAAGCATATTGGGCTGGTCTCTAATCTAGAACGCACCTTGTACAGTACTACTATACTCTCTTTGAGGGCAGGCGACACTGTCGAAGCTGTTCTGATTCGTTGATGTAATGGTACATCAATTATGCTGATCTATTAAGTAGATTCTGAATATCTTGGATACTCACCCAGTTTGAGACAAGACATAATTGGTTTAAACCCAGAAAAACTGAACCACACTTCTCGGAATGATTGTGTGTGATTGCACAAATTAAGGCTTTCAATTTCCCTTCATTTGGTACTCGCGGAGAAGGGACGGCTGTTTTGTGCAAGCTAAAATACCTCATGGTGGTATCTAAGAGTGAAATCTAAAGTATGAGTATCTCTAAGCTTAAAAGTGCCGACTAACATGTGCGAAGACCACTAACAGTGTGTTCTGGCTAGATAGCTGAATTTATATCAAATGATTCTACAAAACGACGCAACTCTTCCTGGTCCTGGAGTCCGCAACTAATTCTCTTCCCAGAATAGTAGAACTTGAGGAAAGATTGCGCATGGGAATAGATACAATTCGAGTAGGAAAGATTAACACCTGTAAGTGGTGTCCTACCAGTCTCCAGCTTTTACCGTGAATTACACAAAGACGCGATTGGGCCACACCTTCAACTTTGAGCTTAGCTATCTCCATCTCTAAAAAATGCTCTCACTACAACTCCTACAACGATCAACATGCTGGGAAAGTGGAGAGATGTTGCGGCAACAACCGCCATATCAGTAATATAAAAAAAGCACTTCTCGTATGTTAACTCAGGATATTCACTGGCAAGCAAAAGAGACTTCCGCCCTCGAGAAAATCAGATTTCGACTTGTCAAAAAATCCTTCTACGTACAATTACCAGGAGGGTATCTAGACTGCAAGAGTTACTCGACAACACCTAGTTCGTAACGACTTTTAGATGTTGAGCCTAGCTACTTCAGAGCCATACCGGCGAATAGGGATTTCTCCCCTTCCAGTGGTACCGGTACAATCGCTCAGTATGCTCCCCATCTTTGAGATAGCTGAGAAAAATCTCATCCGAGTCGAAGCCAAAAGCAAACACGAGCATATCTATAAACGACGACTTCTCATCGATTTCGGCCTTAACATTCTCATCTGAGCCCTAAATCTCTTTCTAACCACACATCATCTTGCCCCAACGACCGATAAATGAGTTGCTCCGATTGCAAACGGGAGCTTGCCTCAATAGTTACCGGCCATCGCCCAATACCAATTCACGACGCTACGTATAGCCACAAGATGGGAAATAAGTCGTGGGGTACAAAGCTTGGGGTTTTAGCTTGTAGGGGACTGTAGATCCAATAGTGCTCTTCCTCTTGCGGCAGGATAGATGATTGGGACATGAAATAAGAGAGGGAAGAGATCTCTCGTGGATATGATAGGACTGGCTTATTGGGGATATTTTCGACCTTGGAACGTTTGTGGTCGCCAAGACCAAGGTTTTGGTTCATTAACCATCAGTAATTTTATTATCAATGAGTCAACAGCACTCCTCGGGGCCCTGGACGGCACAATAGAATTTGGGCCAAGCTACTTTACAGCAATCACACCACGTCAAGACTTTTCTGAAATTTCAGCACGATCATCGTCTTTTCCAGGGACATAGAACTAAGTTGTGGCAAAGGGGAGGCTATGAAGGGAGGGGGAAGATATTAGGTTGATAAAAGTGTGCGAGTTCTAGCAAGCCGGTCACTTCGGACGCTTCAGAAGCGTAGTCATTTCTTCGGATGGAGTCCTGATGTTGGTATTAGGAGAGCACCGCACACAATGGCTTTTAAGACTTTTCCGTACAGCATTATACCGGCAGATGGCCATCGATTCGTTGGCTGGAGAGGGGAGATAATGTCGGGATAAACGTTCCTCTTAGTGTGGATTCAAAGAAAGACCATTGGGTGCAGTTTTGCCGGAAAGAAGAGCTGAAGGGGGCATAGAAAGGAGTACAGTACCTGAGGTATAGATACTAGTGACCTGCAGATAGGAGGTACCTGCATGTCCCTAAGCTGCCGCAGACTCAACAGGAAAGCCAATATACCAAAAATACATGTAATTTTACCGAAGAATCAAAACTTGAATCAAAGAGAGGACAGTCATCAAGTTGCCGCTAGTTACAGAAGATTGCACGTCGCAAATCAAGGTGTGGCGCCATAGAATTTGGGCTAAAATACCCGCCATTCCAAAGCCCTCTAGCTCATTGACTTCCGTGTTATCTACTTGCACCAAGACTAAGCAGTCACTTGAATATCTCTGAATTAACCCGAGACGCAACTATTGATTCCTTCTTTCTCTAACTCTAACGTGAGAGCCAAGATGGGCTTGGAAAACTAGTCCAAATAGGGTGCTGGGAAGCCCAACCAATTTTTTCCCATTTCCACCGAACATCTAGTGTAGTGCGAGCTTAGAGTCAGGCGAGCAGAGATTATTGCTTCGATACGTAGCGAGGTAGTGGCCCAAGAATACGAAGCATTGTTTCTCTGAGCGTAGTGACGTGAGAAGGGGGAGTGCAATGAACGAGGCTCAACTGAACAAAGCTTTAACAGCTAGCCAATATACCGAGTGAGCCTATCAAGAGCCCAAAGTATTTATGCTATGCAAATTTGCAGCGAGCACGCAGAACTCAACTCGTATTTGTACATAAAACAACCCAAAGTCTACAGTCCAAGCTGTCCATGTGGCTCCCCAATCGCAGAATCCCAAGCTTGTGATGATACCCTGGTCCCGATGGTCAAATGGTAGAGGGAAGATTTGGAGAAAACTCAAAGGTCGGCTCTACGAAGCTTTGTCAAATAACCCTGGTTACGTGAAAAAATTACGCAGTGGATCCAAATCATGCCCAGAAAGAGTAATTCCAGACAATAAAAGCGGTCGAATTGCTGCTGATGAAAGGGAACAGGTCAACCAAGTCTTAGGGCGAGTGAAGAGAATGCGGTTGACTTGTAAAGATGGCATTACAGTGTAATTGCGCTTCCTGAAGAACATACGTGGAAACTAGGGGCAACAAACTAAAAGGTCTAGGGGGTTTTGACCATAAAGGTTTCCTCCCGTATGAATATTACAGTTCGTAGATATTTACACAGGCCCATAAAGCGCCAAATCAGCCTAAATCAAATATACCATGTGTATATGGTTGTACGAAAATACAGTTATTAGCTTTTTTTATCGGTAACTTTTAACATTATACAAGATATCTTTTAGGTGACTTGCCGGAATTTTGGCACCAGATCGCTTTGATGCTCTCGTAATAAGTAGTCCAACGCTTTTTTTTCGATCACAACTCGGCCTAATTCTAATAGGTCTTTCACGTCTACCTCGCTTGCTCTCTCCACTCTGCCGTCACTTCCTGCGCCCTCCATGGCGGTTAATAAGTTTTTAGGCTCACCACCAACAATCATCAGCGTTCGACCGTCTTGTTTGCCCCAATGGTTATGTTCGAGAATATGTTGCGCTAGGAGTGTTTCGGGCTCGTCAAGCTCCATTTCATTCTCGCAAACAATAAGTTCGCCGCGGCGATATCGCCAGCTGAGCGCTGTACGCCACGCCAAGTCGTACATCTTTCGGGGAAGTCGTGTAGAGAAATCACGTGGATGTGGACCATGAGAGACACCACCGCCGACAAGAGCAGGCGACTGACGATGACCTAGACGCGCCCGCCCAGAACCTTTTTGAGGCCGTATTTTGCGACGAGAGCCATGAACTTCGCCTCGCGACTTTGTTGAGCCTGTGCCTTGGCGAGTGTGATCTCCCTCGAAGATAATAGCCCGATGAAGTATATCACGGCGAAGGGGGAGGTATAGATGTTTGGCAGCGTAAGTTTCGAGACGAAGAGGCTCCATGGTTGGAAACTGGAAGATAGTGGTTTGAACCTCAAAGTTGTTATGGCTATCAGTGGGTTTCGAATGGATAGGAGTAGACCGACATGGTACTGTAACATAATTTGAATGATTAGTTGAAAAGGGATTCGCTGCTTGTGATGTATTGATAGAGGTCTCCGTTGCGAGATGCCGCGTACTCTGCGAAGCTAAATAAGGCTAGTAACTTGAATTAGCTACGGGTTTGAACGGCTAGGTAATTTACACACCGAAATAGACTCGTTACAACTAGTATCATGAATTGTTTTTCTGTAAGCTTTTAAACACCTTTGAACTCTTTGGAACACTTTGGATGCCATAACTATCAATTTCTAGGAGAGCTTTGGGGGTATGTCGAGTGAGAATGCCAGTTTATCCTTAGGGGTGGTAGAGATGCTATGAAAAGTGCTGTTTAGAGTTCCGTTTGTAAGCTAAGTAGAGACGGATTGAGACTATACATGAAAGACGCTGAGGGGCTTCAGTATCGGCTTCTGTGTCATTAAATAAATTTCATGCCGAAGAAATGTAGACAATATGGCTTAGTGTGTGCCTTTCAGTAGGCCCGTCAGGATTGGCAGTTTGTATATTACACCATAAAATGGCCATGACGAGGTAACGTGACTGTCGCCAAGACTTTAACAAAGTACGCCTCAGCCTGGCGTATCTTTTGAATTGACACGAGCGCTGTTCCATTAGCAGCGTCTACTGCAATCGCCGGTATGGAAACTAACCCCGAGAACAAAGTTCAATCAAAATCCCCCGTATTCAAGCAGATGGTCTGCGAGATAGTCAATTATGCCTTCATACCACGGCACTGTTTCACTTCTAACATGATTGATTCCGACCAAAGCCTCATCTAGTTTTCAAGTACGACTTCGTACATCCTGAACTCTATGGCTATACCTCCTATTGACTCAATCTCTAGCTCTAGCTGGCCTCTAATTAAAGGCCCTAACCATATCAATCTTCGCAGTACAATAGAAGTCTTAGCGCACAAATCTAAAGCATTTTGCGCGCCAAAGTTTTGATTTCGATAGCGCTGGCGACACCAGAAACATAGTCATGGCTAGATGGTGCAGTGGAGATCGTTCGCGCCAGTCTGTCAAGTAGAACTAAATAGTTTGGGAACCTGTCCTACTCCAGACAGGAAATTCTCTGTGCGAATCTAGCAAAGCTTAATTACACATAGCAAGGTGCTAAGGTGTTTGGGCGACTAAAGCATGCTTGTCATGGTATGATACACCCAAGTAGTCGAGGCTAGGGCATCTGTGTGGCTCAAGGCCACAGCATATATCACTATTGTACTGGTTAGGCGAGCATGTACAGTCAGACCCTTGTTAAGACGATATTTTTTCCAGACCGGACTTCGTTCCCATACATTTACCGATTACACAATTATCGTTCTTGAACCTCTGTATGTCGTCTTAACCAGGGGTTTTTTGCTAGATTGGTGCTACAAATGCCGCCAAAAAAGGGAATTTCTGTGGAGCAACGATATTCTCTGTCTGACGATATTTTTCACGGCCCCGATTACGTCATATTAATAGGGGTCTGACTGTACATAGTTTCATAGATGTACCCACAATAAACGGATACAGGTTTAGTATTATACTTTCTGTCCATATACCTACAGCATAATGTTATATGAGTCTATTCACTGTCACCAACTAAATACAACATCATCCACTCCTCATCAATCCGCATTATGAGTTCCGCAAAACTCATAACCAAAACAATGCTTCGATAATCAAAAACTTTGAATTTTGATGGACACTTACGGAGGAGGGTTAACTGTTATGCGTAAGCAGATATAGCTCAGTGGTATTTTCGAATGAAATCCAGAGTATGAGTGTCTGAAGCCACAAGAATTATTCTACATGTTTACAAAGCAATGATAATGTGTCATTACCCTATAGCTACAAACACTTTGTCAGACCAGGATCAGAACCCGATGGAATCAATATTCCTCACTTATCTTCTCGTGATTCATGTAAATTCCATTCTTCTAACCTGATCGTAACATCATTGTCAGAATAACATGCCAAGCTGGTACCTGGCATAATTTGTGGTTTTTTTTTAAATTTCTAATTTGTTTTGTTCTTTTTTTTGCATCATATTTTAATTGCGTATGCAGCTATCTAGCTTTGACACAAAATCAAAGAAAAGTACAGGATAGATGATTCAACGTAAAGGAAGAGCACTCATACCTCGGATTTCATTTACAAGTACCACTGCGAAGTTATGGCGGCTTTTTCTTCACCCAAGTCAACCCTCGTCCGTGAATACCCTCCCAGGGGAACGTCTCAAAAACCCTGAGTTATCCAGACATGCCTGCATCATCTTTCAACTTTTCCCCGCGCGAAATGTAATCTGAGATGTCTCCTTCCCAAGTGGAGTAGGTGCCCAGGCTACTCCAACCATACCAGAGAACACCACCAGGAGGCGGACCACAACACCTTCCATCGTTGGCTTGTATTTATAGTGTCAGCTGCACTCTCGCAAGCGAAGTCTTGGCGCGCACAAAGCTCAATTCGTAAAACTCTTGCCAAAATTCAAAATGACACGCCCGTCGAGTTTGTATTCTTCCTTTGCATCATCTTGTGGACTTGTCCTGATCCCTCTCACGTCCATCCCAAAGAACTGTCTCCCAGACTTGTGCGCCACGCTTTGCTTCCTCCGTAGGGTGTAAATATCGGCGTGGGCGTGTATTTGGTGACTAGCTGAGGCCAGAGAAAATTGAAAAGAGGTGTAATCATTGGAATTAGGATATACTGGGTCGTACTTGTATGCTTGATGAGACTTAGGTAGGAATCGATTTCGTTGGGAGTGAAAAAACGACGTGGAGGAGTAAATTGAATCATTACCTCGTGGGCCAACTTCTTTGATATTGCGAAATTTGACTGAACTTGGCTCTGGAAGAATATTTCACTACCAGATTCGTAGACAATACCGCGTACAGGTGTTCAGTCTTGCCCTCCTTTTTTTTGTTCATTAACGTGCTAGGAATAGTGATTCCCGTTGCACTCTTACTGGAGCTTAAGCACTAGTGGGGTCGGGCCGGATCAGGTAAACTACCGTAAATTACAAGTGCCTCGACCCACCTAAATGACCGGACCTCCCCAGACTTCACCCATGTGTTGAATCATGTCAAGCCCAACCGTCCAGAGAATTCTCTTTTGACCCGCCGAAGCGCAAATTCCCCCTCAGTCTCGGCCACCACGCGCCCGAACCCTTGACACCTTCGCGACCTGTAACTTTTCCCTTCCATTCATTCCCAGCTTTGGCTCATTTCAGCATCTCCTCATCTCATCCAGGGGTCGTTTTCTTCATTGGAGGCCTCATCCAGTCGCCCACCAAGGCCTCCTCAGCTTGTGCTTCCATTTGTTCCTTCTTGTAGAATTTCTAAATTTATGGTTGCCTCAAGGAAAACCTTGGCGTTTTGGGTAATTTTCAGATAGAGAATACCGGACTTCCGTGCAACAGACGTGTTAGACTGGTATTGAGTCGTTTTAGTATTGTATCTTGGCTACAACATGTATGTATAGTGTCTTGTGATGTAATGGAGCTATTTCTAGATATGTGCAGATGTATGAGCTTAGAGAAAGAGGAAGACCGACCGACAGATAGACAATTACATCTCTTTATCTACTTCAATTGAAAGTTCCGGTGCGAGCTATTCTTCAAGATACCTCCAGTCTCAATTATTAAAGCTTACGAACCAGCTTCAAAGGTTCGACACGCATTAATTGATTAAAAAAAGAGTCAAAGACTATCAAGCACATTGTGCTCCTATCTGACCCAGAACACAGCTTTTACGGAAATAAAATTGCTTTTTGATATAATTAGTGATCTGAAATTTACTGCCCGTGATGGATTGCCATTCAGCTCAGTATTTACCCGTGGAATTCAGCCACCTTTTCTATAGAACCTCTTACCTTTAAGAATAAAGCAATGGAAACTACGTGCGCGGGTAAAGTTTCCAACCCCAGTCAGGCTGCGGATTTTAGATTGACAGACGTCTACATTAGTACGAGACACTGATAAATTGGAATGCCTATATAATGATGTTCACTTCGGAGTCCGGACGCAAGTTCAGAAATACTGTACATAAATAGGCAATTCCCCGTGTAAATAGAAAAGCAAGTACATCTAGTCTTAAGCTCTACTACACATGTTGGTATTTTGGAGCCACGAAACACTCGTAACCTACATCATCACAAAGCTAAGCTTATCTCACTTTTCACGCATTCTAATCCACTAGGAACCTCAAGGTGAGGCCTAGACACCGAGACCACACGAGGTGCGCATATTCATCTACATCATTCTTCTTCGTAACATTCGAGGCCGGCCTGATCCAATTCACCATCGCCGTATCGGGTGCTGGGTACGCTCCGAAAACTCATCGAATGGCTTTTCGTCCATGATCAAGGGTCAGTGATGAGAAGGGCTCCGATCCTACCATCCGATCTGATAGTGGCTAGCTTCATGATAATGGTGATAGGAGAATGTGTTGAGAGATGAAGACGATACAGACGGCGAAAGCGATTGGGAATCCTTATCGAAGTGAGGACTTTGATACTCAATCTCGGCTCTGCAGACTCTACAGTGAGAGCTGGAGGCTCGTAGGGACACCACTGACAATTATTGAGAATAGATCACCTGATCTTGCAAAGAAAATCCTTGGTTTTTCGGACATACATCATCTTCACCCGAAATTAGCATCAATGATTATAATGTGTTACAGAACAATTCTATCTCATCAAAATCTTCTTTCGATGAGGCCTTCACTCAAAAACTACAATCCATTGATTATCTTACCTTATGACAAATAATTCTTTCATCGCAGAACAGAGCATCAGGAACATTAAAATCTCTAGTGAGTAAAAATTTATTCAATTTGTCAAACTATAAAGGCCTTGGTCAACCATAATCATCCTTGTACTCCCAACATAATGGAGTTAGGGTTGTGGTACGTTTTTACTTGGGAGTTAAAGGGTGAGGTGTTTCGAGAATTTATATACTCTGTATTATTTTTCCCACATAAGCGTGTAGACAAGGCTGCTAGACACATAATAGTAAGAGCTTGGTCGCAGCATTAAATTATGCAGCGGGTACTATTAAAGATACTCGTTCTGTTTAACCCTACACTTTATCGATTTTACTCCCAATACTATTGAATCACTCATCTCAAGGAATCATAATCTAACACAAGTCTCTATCCGTGGCAAAAAATAAAAAGGTAAGAAACTCTAAGATCCAGTACCCCTATTTTATAACACACACATCAAGAGCGAAGAAACTAGTTTCATATTGGCGATTATGATGTTTAGAGACTATTCTACATGACTATAGTTCTTTAAATTTATGCAAAGTAGCCTTGTAAAGAAAGCAATTTAGCGCACAGTACATAGTTTTATAGATATCTTTGTTGCCATAGCTAATTTACGATTCGATGTACTCTATAAGCCATTTGGTGTAGTTATTTTCTTGTTGGCGGATGGACCAACGAAAGCGGTAATTTGCTTGTACAGCAGGCCCTTGAAATGGGATTTAAATTTCCGCAAAGTTAGGCGCGTTTTCGCGATCTTTCGCGGGTAATTATAAATTTGTTGCTGCATGGTATCTATATATAATATTTCACCGCTAGCATAAGGGTTTAGTTTGTGCTCGACTTTATCTCTTGTTAATCATTAATTGATATCGAAATATCGCCAATTCGTCAAGTGTAATTAGCCAGTTGCGCGATGGCACACTCCAACTGATGGGAGCCAGTTGACTCGGGCGAAACCTGTGCTAGAGGCTGATCTGAAAATGTGTGAGAGAACGGGTTCACGAACGACGTCCGAGTGTTGAAATCGAAGGGTGGGGGTGTCGGGTGCGTGAACAAGGGGCTATTAAACGGGGAGCAATACTGCTCGTTCAACTGAGGCAGTGGCGACAGGGGAAAGACATAACCAAGAGATTTTCCATCACCAATAGGTTGACCACTCACCGACGCCCGTGCACTGGCTTGAAATTCTCCGCTTGGAACTCTCACAAAGCCGTCATGGGGGATAATTTCATCCATGAATGGGTTGGGTGAGTTAGCCAGTTGGTATTGTAGGGCAACAGCCTCATCGTCGGTTGCTAGTGATACCATAGAGATCGGCGTATTAATATTACTAACATTAGATTCGATCTGCGGCGAATGACGGGTGGATGAGCCACTTCGCAGCTTAGCGAGATCTGAACATTGCCCAGGCGAGTTATTTTCGACATGCGTGCCTTCAGAGTCTGGCAAGGGGCATTTAATTGCAGGCGGTATATCTACTGCATTATCTTTCGAGTGTGTGGAAGAATTAGCGCGATGGCGTGAAGGATATGGTGATGTCGGGGGCCATCTAGGACTGATTTCCAAAATCTTGGGCCAGTCTTGGCAAGGGACTATGAGCGCAGAAAGGCGTGCAGTTGCTTGATCGAGAGCTTCAGCCAGTGGTGGATCTTTAATTTTCCTAGCTTGTTCCAAAAGTGTGAACAACTCTTGGCTCAACTCTCCCCGAATCTGACACAATTGATGGAATTCCCTTTCCATATTTAGACTCATAGACTTCAGTCTTTCTTCTGCTTGTTTCCGCTTTCCCCGACAGGTTCTTGCTGATTCCGCGTTTCTACAGAGGGCTTTTTCTTTCTTCCTCTTTCGCTCCTCCTCAGTCAAAACCTTTTGATTTTTGTTCGGGCCTCTTCGGCGTTTGGGTGGGTTGCGTTCTACATTTGGCTCTCCCCATCTTTTCCCTTGACGGAGACCTTCTTCGACATCTTCTAGTCTTGAATGGCCGGGCTGTGAAAGGAATGATGACTTTTGTCCGCAGACGACTTTTGATTTCCTTACTAGAGGTTGTGGCGTGCGTTTTTCCGGAGAATTAGGAAAATTAAGCCATGCAATACCCAATTGTTCGGAGCTCATAGTATCGCTGGGTGGTAGGGAATATTGAGACTTAAAGAGATTTTCCATGCGTTCAATCCTCGATGATCAACGACAAATCTTGGGCTCATCTGGTGGTAGAAGCAGCTTTCACCTTATCGGTCAGGTGTATATTTTCGATTCTCTAACACGCGGGGTATCGTTGATCAGTACATAGTCGGAATTGAGAAAGAAAAGATGAAACTTTACGGAATATAGACGGCAGGCTATTCAAGCAGAAATTGAACGATGCTTGTGATGATTATTATTGGTTTTAGTATCACCTACACTCATATGCACGATTAGCTTCCTGCAGATTGACTAGAGCAAGCTGATATTTTGACACGATCTATGAGTGGATATCGTTGGGTATATTTGTGCGTAGTTGTAGTAGCTGCTATTTCTAAATGAGGAAGATTATGGGATAAATGACCATCAAGCTAACAGTGATATATGGGGGGGGGAGTTCTCTGGTGAGGGACAAGATAGACTGAACGGGTTTAGTGGGTTTAGTGAAGGAGCTCAGAGGAAATCGGACAATCCGAGGAGAGGGCGTGAAAGTGAAGGAAAGAGTGACTGCAGTCTGACATTTCTTCTCTCAATCTTTCAAACTCGTGCAAGGAAATTCCCGAGACTGAGATTCACATGATAAAATGGCGCTTGTTGCACTGGTGATCTGGGCCCTTTGATATCCAGGAGCTGGAGAGGGGCGGCGGAGTTTTGGCAAAATGAGAGCCAAATTTCTGTGAGTGGCGGCCTCTGCTATGACATGGCCTCGTTCTACAACAGGAAATGGGAAAGTTGGAAGGGAAACTAAATGGAGGGAATGAGCGCCAGCCTAACCCGAGCAACGCACGAGCATGCAGCTTTGGTGTGAACAAGTGCTCGAATAGGACGCCAGTTAATAATTAATGCTTGTGGTTTTATAGAAGGCTGGTGCGCTGTTGTACTTGGAGTAATTGTGGAGGCGGGGGCGACGAGGATAAAAAGATGTGGATGTGGAGTAAGAGGTCAGATGCGAGGCTCAAGATGTGATATATGAGCGCAACAATTAGCATAACGTGGATGTGGGTGGGGAAATCGTACGGTAATGAGAATAATCAGTAAATTTATTGCAAATAAACATCCGCCTGTTCCCTTTTCTTCCTTCAATAGACACTTTTGGCAAAAATCGCGTTGAGATACGTACAAGCCTAGATTGGGCTAGATATGAGGCCAAACTTTCATTCCCTCACGGGAATTCGAGGTCAGAAGAAAGCCGGATTGTGAGCAGTGAAAAAGGAGTCCAGGCCTATTCCCAAGTTGAAAATAAGCGCAGTCAGCCAGTCTCTTATTGCAAAGGGAAGCGGCGGCTAAAGATAAATCACGTTCTTGCGGCGCTCCAGGCGGTACGGAGAAGTAAAGAATTGGCATTTCACGGGGACCATCTTATTATGGCGTTGATTGCGCTCCACCAGTTTGTCAGCCAGATAGGTTAGATAATAAAAGATTCATTGAGGTGCCAACCATTCAACACCCCATTCAGCAGTCCTTCACCAAACTCGTGTGCAAGTCCACATTTAAGCGCTACTTACTATCCGAAATCTGATCAGGGATGGAAAGCTGACGACTCAATCTCTCATCCGAACTTTACTCATGGAACTATCATGGCTCGAAACTTCAGCTAGTGTTCACTATCAAGGGGTAAAACTTTTTAACCGGATTGATAGAAAACGATTAGGTCCGGCATTCACCTCCTATTTCAGGTATTTCAAGAGGTTCAACCAACTGCTCTTAGGGATCCTAAACCAAAAGCCGCCTACTACCATCAACCCCGAGTTACAAATGGCACAGACATCTTTTCAATCAGCTACCAAGACTAGTCTTCTAAATCAGTTTCCTGCGTAGTACGTCAAAAGCTCATGCTCTCTGATGATAAGCAAGCTAACTAGCCTATTTTCTAAATCCTATAGATGTGGCCCAGTATATACCTTGCCTCTTGCTCCGAATATTATGAGGGAAAAAGTCTATAATACGCAAAACACGAGACAGGAAATTTAACAATTATTTAAATTCTATTCATCTGACTTGTTAGCATCTGGCAACGTAAAAACTGTTGGAAATTTCATCTAATCTATTATTTTATAGTGTAAGCTTAAGCTCTTGCGAAACTACTTTTTGCTAAATGTGATCAGGACAATAAGGCTAGTATTTTTGTTTTATTTTCTAATGTTTCTAGTTTGGTTAACTACGGGCACCTGCACAGTTTTTTCTACAAAGCTTTAGTATCTTACTTTTGCTAGCATTCAATTACCGGCAGTCTCAGGGATCTAGATAGGAGGGGGTACACTACCCAAGGCATAGATACTCCCGGCCTATAGACAGAAAGGAACCACATTTCCATACATATTGATAAACTTATTTGGGCACTAAACACTCACTCAGGGACCTGGATAGGCGAATACAATGACCGAATATTTTATTGTTCAGTTTCCTGCTAGTACCACTATTATTATGATACCAAGCTCTAGGGTTGTCTTCCACACAAAATTAGTGTTACCATTATTATAGAGAAAACTATGAATAATGATGGGCTTTTTTAAAATTATTCATTTACTCTACGTCCGAGGCTGAATAATTGGCTAGCTCATCTATTAGATTTGAATAGATTTTGTTAAAAAGTAGAGTTATTGGGCTATCATGTAGGCCATGTTGTTGATACACACGTGTGAATAAATTCTGTACTAAGTTTCTGTCGGAGCAATTCCTCATGTGGGCCTTAGGCAAACAAGTGGACTCAGGTTTTATCAACACTTCAGGGGCGTCGATACATTGAGATCCATATACATATACATTTTAATCAGTCACCACTTCTGCATTAGAAAACACATTCTCATCACCTGTGATATCACAGAGATTGATTCTGTCATACCAACAGTTTCGCATCGTTAGTTACTTAAATCAATGCGCTCTACAACCTCAATGACTGAGGGTCATTGTTTTCCTTATTAGATTTTATTATAGTCCTATCTGAGTCTATGACTATGGAGGACTTCTAGAATTCACTTGAAAGAAACTAACTATATTAAATCGCTTGTCTGTGATAACTTTGTATTAATTTCTCAAAGATAATGAGGAAAGCCCAGCTCATTTATGGTATTGCGTGAGTGCACCGAATCACCCAGTTTCCCAAAGGCCATAGACAACGACCGGGATTGCGAGACACTAACCAGGCAGCTGCTTGGCGCACGGCCCATCTATCTTCGATTGTCGGGATAAAGAGGAACCATGAGTAAGTTGCAAGTAATGTATGGCATGTCCAACATCGTGCCGATGAGCACACTTACCGTGGCACGCAGACGCCGCGACTAGCTCCAGCTTTTACCCCGCTCCTACGCGGGCTCACCGTCTTAGGTGATCTGCGGCCTGATGCCAACAAACTACACCCAGGCACTAACCTTTTACCGCCCGCTCGTTTGTCGCAAATTTTCGCCGCACAACCAATTGAACAGCACTTCGTAGCACATAAAAACAGAACAACTGACAAACCTCAATCAACATCATGGCAGAGCCTATCTCAACTCCACGTATCAACTCCACCCATCTAGATAACTTCACTGGCCGCACTATACGTCTTTTAGGTACTGTTATGCAATTGCGTGGCGAGACAGCTATTCTAGACTGTATTGGGAACGTGACACTACAATTGAACAGAGATTCACACCTTACCGTCGGACATGTCTTTGAAATAGTGGGCCGCGTTAATCAAGATCTAAGTGTACGCGTACTCAAGGCAACTGATTTTGGAAAAGAAGGTGCGTATGCCTCTGGCTAACTTAGCCTTCAGCCTTGATTGCACTGTTGCGAGAGTAGAAAGTATGCTAGAATTACAAGGATGATTAGTGCTGACTTATCTGTTTATTTTCTAGTTGACTTATCTATCGCTAATGAAGTGGTCGAGGTAACACACCGTTACAAAGAAATTTTCTATCAATAATTTGTAATCTACGCCTCTTGGCGGAACGTATTTAGATCTTCAAAAATACGTTCCAACCCCGTTGATCATTACGACTCATGCATAGGGGTTATGGTCCGGATAAAATAATCCTGAGCGCAGGAAATTTGACATTTTTACATGTATGGACTAACACGGGGAAGGTTCTTCATGACGAATTTCTTGCCCACAGATGTATCCAAGTTCAATTCTGGAGTCAGAGCCATGTCGGGGCGATAAGTTGCCACAAGCCTTGCAGCAATTCTCTGGTGTTCATTTATTGTGACTTGAGGGGCATCGGATGGCCTCATTAATCATGATCATTCAGGTTAAACCATGAGCTGCTCATCTTAGCTCCAGATGCTGTTTGTTTATAACTGTGGTGTCTCAGGTGTACACACAGTCCCATCGCAAACGACGAATTCAAACAACCAAAGGGTTGTAGATTTTTGAACTGCACTCACATGGCCAAAATTATATTGACAGTGCATCGTTTGTCTTATATTCTAAACATCAGTTATGTGAGATATGCGTTAAAGTTTCTGCTTCCCAAGGTTGGTATTGGCGTATTGGTTAAGAATTTTAGAGCTGGTTGGACTACGCTCACCCTTGCCTTGTCCCGCAAGTACTTCTTGTTAGGTCCCCATCTCGTATATGAATATAATGAGACGGTTTTTTAAAGTTTTTTAGTTGATCGTTAGATTTCTTTGACGGCTATGTTACAGAGTCAAATGCGGCAGTTTCTAAACTTTCTTGAGGTGCTCCACACTTTGGAGGTGGCGGGGTCATCATATCTCCCGGGAACAGCGAGTCTACGTTTTGGGGCTTCGAACCTAGGCTAATTTGATCAAAGCCACTCCAATCAAGGCTAGATACGCCGCTTGTACTGCCTAGGTTGGAGATAAATCTTACTTCTAATGAATTGTTCGTGAAAGGGAAATCGGGTTTGAAAATATTGTCGAGGTTGTAGTTAAAATTAATATCCATACCGGTTTCGCCTTCAGACGGTTCGGAGAGACATCCAAGGTCATGCCCGTCATTGTGCGTGTTGTCTTTGTTTGCCTCTGATATCATTTTGTTCAGGGTAGCGGTGAAAGGCGATTCACTAGTGTTATTAGAATGGGAAGGAGATAACTTTATACTCCCAGGTGTTTGCAGGATAAATTGATCATCAGATGATTTGATAGAAATAGTTTCTGATGAGTCACATGAAATAGGGCATTCTTTTGGGCTTTTGCGAGGCGTTGTTCGAGGCAGTACAGAAGGAGTGGCAGGTCTTGAGTCATTTTCTACATTTAATTCCTGTTCGAAGAGTCTGATCATATCGGCGTCGGACGCGCTAATGAACGCTGCCTTTTCATGGGTGTTTGCTTCGAATGACTTCTTTGACAAGTTTTTCTCCGGATTTCCGTTGTTATTGCCCACCGGAATAGTGTTGCTTGAACAGTCTCTCGTGTCTTTATGAGAGTCACCATTTACTGGTGAAGAAAAAAGCAGGTGACATTTCTCAACCGGTGTGTCTTCAAGATTAATTGGGCTTTGTTCGGTGCCAGATGTGTGGTCTGGGCTTGATGATTTGCCCCGCTGGATAGACGTAACTTCATTCACGGAAGTAACGTTAATCAGATTGTCCACAACAAGGGGGTCTAAACTCTGCGGGTTCGTTTCGTGAGTTTCTAAACATGGTTCTGCTACAAGTTCATTTTTGGTGGAAGGTAACTGGTTATGGATCGATGAATAGGTAGGTTCAGACGAAGGTAGGGCTGCCTCAGAGGGCAGAAAATTTGTCTCAGAAGGAGGGGCGTTCAGAGCAGTGTTCTGGGCCTTGCGCGACCTGGATAGTCGTTGTGCTGGTCGCTTCTTTGGCTCACATCTGTTGGATCTCTCAAAATGGCTCTCCCAACGTTCTTCTGGACGAGGGGTCTTGTATTTAGACATCCAGATACCACAGGCTGCTTCGATTAGTCTCCAGGTTAGATGTGAGTTTGATCACTTACGGTTACATAGTAGATACTCATTGTAGTCATCCTGATTTTCATCTTGGCCCAAGTATTTTTTGATGAGATGATAGGAAGTTGGTTTACCATTATGGTCGCGCGTCAAAATTATGATTGCGGTGACACGACCAGGCTCGTCGGAATATTCGAAATATCCAGGTACGCCTTTCATCTCCTTAGACCATGCCTTCCGCCACGTGGGCGTCTCGATTGCGCCACAGTTACAGCAAAACGGAGGCATCTCACCGTTTGCTATAGCCAGTTCTAATTTGTGTCTGATCATTTCTTTCTTCGAACTTGATTGGCTTTGAACTAGTGAAACTGGCATTGAGACTGGCTTGATACTGTTGGAATGAGCGCCAGTTGGGTCTGTAGAAGAATGGACATCTATTGTGCATGATCCATCAGCCCAAGTAGGAGAAATTGAGCGAGAAGATCGGAGAGGAGCCGGTTCTCTCTTAGCATGGTTTGATATTTGGTTTAAACTACTCGGGGCCAGGTGAGTTGGCAATTCAGATCTTTCAGTAAGCGTCGGGAGGGTCATTGAACCTGGATTGGGTCTTGGTAGATCAGCCGTCTGTTGAGGAATCGGTTTGCTACGGATAGTTTGATTTTTTTTTCTCAACTTTGGTAGTGTTTGATTAATTTCGGATATTGTACTATCATGGCTGGATTCAGCTTGCCTTATTCGGGTCGGTGGCTGAAATATTGGCATTGTTCTAGGTAATAGGTTCATTGGACCTGGATATTCTTCCTCAATAATGAATTCAAGTTTTTTTGGAGGCTTTAAGGTCTCCTTGTTCGAGGCACGAGACCGCCGCGGAGGATTTGTGACTCGAGGCTCTGCTCCTTCATCAATTTCTGCCTCACCAGAGAGTTCATCGATAGACCCGCTCATAAATCCGGAATCTATTTTAGGCATTCGTGGCAAAACTGGACTAGAGGGACACTGAGGACTAGAACGTATGCGGGTGGGGTTTGGTACTTTGAGAGTTGGCGGTGAGGATGTTAGGCCGGGAGGCGTTTCGGAATCAAACGGGCTTACGTTCCTCTCGGTGAAAGCGTGTGAATTTTCGATGGATAGTTGTAGTTGATCGTTAGCTCTGGTATTAGGGGATGTGGAGGATCTGGTAACTTTTGAGCAGATTTTGGTCCTTGGGTGACTTAGTCCAACCTCAGATGGTGTTTCAGGACGATTGCAACTCTCTATTCGTAATGCCGGTGTGGGGTCACCGGCTATTTCGCCTCTGTAGTTTGTTACTGAATCAGAATAACTAGGATTGATAGCAATAGGCCTTAGTGATGGTAAAGAGCCAGAAAAGCCTGCAGCGACCTTGTGAGAGTGTATTTTTTGGCCAGGTACTTGCCTCAAATTGTTGTTAATCTTTTGAGATTTGACTCTTTTTTTAGGAAGATTTTCCTCGCAGTCTGTTCCGTCCTCGTGGGTGGATGGGTTTTCGCTGACACCACGAAAAGCTGGCCTTAATGTCCTTCCTCTGCTTCTCTTTGTGCAAGTTCCTAATGCAGGTCTCAGAGTTTTTCTTGGATTCTCGGATACAGTTGTGTCATTCCTTTTATTTTCCTTGCCCTCCTCGGAGAGAGACTGATTGAGTGCAAGTGATTTCATCATAACATTTGCTTGTGAGGTGAGAGGCTGATTGCAGTAAAGATTATCTGATATTTTTTGTTGTATGAAACTACCGTTGTCAAGGTGGCCATAGTTAGTAGATACATCGCAATCAGTGTTTTGTGTGTTCATGACCCAGCCGCGAGAATTCACAGAGTTGAAGGCAGTCAGTCCTAGGTTACGGCATTTGCAGATAATTTCGGCATGATTGAGTGAAGGAAGGGTCATGAGCCTGAGTTTCACTTGAAGCGTAGTCGTGACACTTCCGGGAAATATAGCCAAGTTATTATAACCAATACGTCCTGTGATAAGTTGCTTATTTCTATTAATGGGTCTTTCAGCTTCACCTAAAGCATCAGACAAGAGTCCCTGGCTTACGAGGGGGGATTCAGGCTCAGAATAGTCGTGGGCGTATACAGTGTAGTCTTGTCTAGTTCGCGCCACAACCTCAGGACTCGCTTCTAAAATGGCACGAACACATAAGTGATAGTCCACAAGACCAATTAGATGTGCATCCTCTAGGTTGAAGGTCGGTACATGTAATACGTGCGGCCAGCGTGCGAGATGCTCGGGGTTACAAAATGTATCAAAGGTGTAGAAGATTTTTACTGGACTGAGTTAGCAAATTTGGTATACTGGCATTGGATCAAATTAATGTACATTGAACGGACTTGACCGAGTCTACATCAGTGTCGCTATTGTAGCTCACTATTTTCGCCGTCATATCTATGCAGCTTATGATAATTGCGTGGTGTTTATCATTTAAAATTAAAAAATATATTGGTATACAGGCAGTATCAAGTCAACAAATTATTCAACAGACAATTATGATTCAAGTCGATGTTTATCATGAGTTTGTTTTACTCCGACGGTCGTGAGTGTGGGTTATAACCTTTCCGTATTGATGAGCTGGTCTGTATCAGTCTTCGGATGCGATGAGAATATTACAACGATGATAATTCTGAGAACAAAGATTTGGGAATTATATATTGTTGTGATTAGACTTACTTGTTGATATTAGCAATCGCGTTGCAGGGAATCAAAGGCGGGTATGTGGCGTGTCCGTAGCGTCCGCATTGCCTAGCAACGACTGTTTCAGGAAAAGATCATCATGTTCCGGCAATGTTTGAAAATTTAGTCGCATAGTTAGAGGCTCCCGATTGTCCTGCCAACGATTGATCCTGTGTCCTAGCGTCGCTGAATTTGCTCTAGCCGCGTTATATGCTGTGGGGAAAGCCAGCCGCGTTGTTTTGTGCTTGCACAGGCTTGGCCGTCACCGTCCGAAGTAGAATCCTCAGGGCCATTTGACGCTCTTTGCTATCTTGCCGAGATTTTTGACCAATCATGGTGCTCGGTTTTCACCATAAAATCGTTGTAGGATACTACACTCGTCATTCTTTTCCGACTCTTAATTAAAAAAACACGTGCGCTGTTTCTCGCATTCTGATCAACAGTGCACTAAGCGCAATAAACCTCTGTACAGGACATCAAACTTTTGTCCCTCAAATTAGTGTATCTAATGAAGCTAGTGAGGTTAGCCTCTACATCTGGTGATTATATTCATTGATACTTCTCCATGACGCTCTAGGGCTTCAAAGCACCAAGCACAACGTTTCCCACTTTTTAAGCTTAGCAGTTTGAGGGTTGTAATTTGCTCGAAATTTTTTATTAGTGTATAGATTGTTTTGGATTCATGAGCCCAAAATTTTAGATATACAAACAATGATAAAGAACGTAGGCTTAACTAATAGGTGACTTCATTCCACAAAAGAGACCCGTTTTTTGCTAGCGTCACAGTATTTCTATCCAAGATATCCTGCACTTTTTCCTTTACACCTTGTTTCCCTCGGGTGAGCTTAATAAAGTGCTCGATTACATTGGAAGGGTTCATGTATTTGCTCGAAACTAAAGTTTCCACTTGTTCTTCCGATGGAAGTCCATATTTGTGGTTGGGATACTCCTTAAAGTCTTTGTTTGCCAGAAAACTGATTGGTTCAATTCCCCGTGTATCGAAATATGGTTCTTCGATCCTACTTTTGGGCTTAATTTCTTCAAGGGAAGCAGGGTCCCATTTTGGCTTCCCATCTTTTCGAATCAGTGTTGCCTGAACGCCTTCGTTAAAATCAGACTTGCGCATAAAACGTGTTGCCATTTGATGTTCTCGTTGAAAAGCCTCCAAAATTGACCATTTTTTTCCAATCTGCATTTGTCTAAATGCGACATAAACACTAGTAGGTGAACGCTTCTGAATAGCGTCAAGGGTATCTTTGGCCCATTGTTCGTTTGGGCTCATTTCAACTTTCAGTGCGGCAATTATATCGTTGACCGTTGGCTTACTAAAGCAACGATCAATAGCTTTGCGTCTTTCTCCATAAATAGTGATAGGCTGTTCATGTGGTAAGCCCGTAACAAATTCTTCGATGGTAGAATTAATAAGATCCAGTCTTTCTTCTAGGGAGTCATAGTCCCTGAATCTAAGCTCAGCTAGGCGTTTTTCCATGGAATACAATGAGGAGGAGTGAATAAAATGAGTCGCAACTCCAGTGAAAAACGCATTAACTCCGTCTAATCTTGAGCTTGTCAAAGCCAAATATGTACCTAGAGCACCACATAGTCGAGGTAGGAAGAATGAAGCGCCTACATCCGGAAAGAATCCGATTGATGTCTCTGGCATTGCAAACGTCGTTCTCTCAGTGGCTATTCGAATGGGTGCATGAATACTCAATCCTACTCCACCACCCATTGTATATCCATCCATTAATGCAATAAATGGTTTGGTGTATGTAGCAATTAGATGATCAAGTTTATATTCCAAAGCGAAAAAGTCGGACGATATTCTCTGGCCTTCTTCTCCCAAAAGGTTTTGCTTGGCAATAGTAGCAACGTCACCACCTGCACAGAATGCTTGGGATCCAGCTCCCTTGATTATTATTAAATTAGCCATATCCGACTTTGTCCATTCCTGCAGCCTAGGTATAATCTTTCGAATCATTGATCCGTCGAGAGAGTTATACTTTTCAGGGCGATTCAATTCGATAGTGCGAAGGCCAAAGATTGTGTCAAAGATTACATCTTCTTTAGAATCATCTGGTAACTCTTTGACAATGCCCTGTGACATAGCAGGGCCCTCTGATAGTTCGTTTGATTCGTTTCTTCGCGTGGGCGTATGAGTCTAAACACTTTGAGCCTTGGATTTGCGATCTGCTGATAGGAGTTATACTCTGCTCCTCAAACCTGCATTGTTTATCTTTGCCTTGAGAGGCATACTCGACTGCTCCTCAATTATCTGGTGTGTAGGCTTTGCTTTTCGAATAATATATGTACTCTAAATCTTGTCAGAACATTACTTAAATTTCTACAACAACAGTCTTACATTATCTTCCGTAATTTTTGTTGATAGATAGTTCCTTCCAGACGAAAACTGTCTCTCGTCTATGTTAATTGCCTTGTGATATTATTAATGAATTTTATGTCTCTTAAGATTATGGTTACCTTTATCTGATCGACCGCTGCATTTGAGAGAGGAGCTAGCTTCATAGATCCATTCAAGCGAACGGAACTAAAGCGTTCCGTCTTCGCCATGATTGAGCATATTTTCCTGGACTGCATAAGCTCAGATCCAAGGCAAACTTAAGTTACTTAATAGAATTTATCAATTTGTTAAGTGAATGACCAGTGGCAAGTGATATGGCATTTACATCACCGATGCCGATTGAAATTTAATGGTTTATCCGATAGTAACAGCCCTGATCACATGACCTACCTCGTACATCACACGACTAGCGTAGAATACTATCAGAAACTAGTCTGATCACTAATATGAAGGGTACCTCTACAGGCGTCAACATAGACACATTAAAGACAGTAAGGCTTTATTTAAACAAGGTCAGAGACACACTGGTGATAGCTGGTACTGACAAATCTGCGACACCGATGGTCAAAATAGGTGAGGCACTCGATATCTTCAAAGCCCACGCTACGATGTAACAATCGAAGCTGAAGGCTTCACGAATGGAAGAACGGATGCGGGCCTTAGAGAAGGCAGTCACGAAGAATTTCGAGGAGCCGTCGCGCCGCCAGCGACTAAAGCGGCAGTCAGAATAAGGATACAAGGGGCAGAAAATATGGACCCGACAGAGCTCCTTGACAAGGCAAAAACACACATCGAGGTGGCATACGCAGTGAGGAAGCTGCGGAGCAATGATACGGAGGTGTTTGTGCAGTCGGTGTCCCAGCGAGACGCTGCCTTAAGTATGGCGCAGCTAGAAGAGTTCTGTGTCCTGAAGCAGGATTACCCTGTTGAGATTTTGGGGATCCCCTTAAGAATATTTATAAGAGGAGGAAAAAATCCAAGTAACGGCGAATTCATAAATCAAATTGTGGCTTAAACAAAAGTTCGGATCCCCGAACAAAAAATCAACAGGGTGAAATGGCTCTGTTAAAGATTTAATCTGCCCATAACTCTGAGCTTAATGATGGCCAGCAAGACGAAGAATATCACGACCTGTCATTTAAGATAAAAGGGCGAAAAGGGTATTAACTAGAAGATAGGACCGATGTAGAAAGGGGTGATTAGCCCAGAGTAGGTATGGGCATCATGAAAGAACTCGGAAGCATCATCATTCCAAAAAGGAGTCAAGTGCGCGATATATGTAAACACGTTTTTAGAATTTAAAATGATTGGGGCTATCAAGTAGGCCACGTTATTGGTATGCACGTGACTACAAATTCTGTACTCAATTTCACATCGGTAGTTACTTGAATCAACGCGCTCTACAACCTCAATGACTGAGGGGTCATATTTTCCTTAATCGATACGTTGAAATATGACTTATGTTGCCGGCAAAGACGAATTCTTCACCTTCCAGTGGTGCCGGTGTAATCGCTCAGTATGCTCTGCATATCTGGGATAGCCAAGAAGAATCGCATCCGAATCGAAGTCGAAAGCAATCTCAAGCATATCTCCATTTGACGACTTCTCGACAATGCCTCTCTTACCATACTCATCTGAGTCCTCAACCTCTCTCTAACCACGCATCATCTCGCCTCAACGACCAATAAAGAAGTAGCTCCAATTGCATACAGGAGCTTGCCCCATTAATTTCCAGCCATCACTCACTACAAATTTACGACGCTATTTATACCCGCAAGGAGAAAATCAAGTCGAAAAATACAAAGTTGGGGTCTTGGTTTGTGGGGGAGTGATGCTCTAATGATGTCATACATCTTGAGGGGTTAGAGGCGGCTGAGATGTGGAGCGAGAGGGGGAACAAGTCTCAAAAGAGCATGCCGGGACTGATATTTTCGAGGACTTTTCAACTTTGGATTTTTTGTGGGTGCCAAGACTAAGATTACGGCTAATTAGCCAGGAGGGCTTCTATTGTCGATGAGTCAACGGCGCTCCCCAGCGCCCTGGATAGCACAAAAGAAGTTGGGCTAAGCTATCGTACAGCAATCACGCTCTGTCAAGACTTTTCTGACATTTCAGCACGACCTTCGGGAAGGAGTTGGAAGGAGGCTAGAAAGGCAAAGGGCGAATTTCTCGAAGTGCCCACAAGTCCGCAGCGCCCAGCTGGCCGGCCTCGTCGAACGCTTCAGATCGATCACTATGTCTTCGGATTTAGTCCTAATGTCGGTGCTAGAAGAGCTCCGCACCCAGTGGTTTATGCGATTTCTCCCGGCTATCATACACCCGCAAATGGCCATCGTTTCGTTGGCTGGAGAGGGGAGATAATGAAGGGTTAAGGGCTCCTCTAAGTGTATGATCGAATGAGGACTTGTGAGGGGTGTTACTGTTTGAGGGGAGCTGTATGGGAGGCATAGGAGGGGATATACTACTGGTATAGGTATCTTTGGCCTGTAGCCAGAGAGGACCTACATATCCTACATAGTCATAGACTCAGATAGGACAATAAAATGAATTAAAAAAAAATGACATATGTTGGAATGCCAAGTACAGTCATATCCCTGTTAAGACGATATTTCTTCCGAAACGGACTTCGGACCCATTCATTTACCGATTACACGATAATCGTTCTTCAACCTCTGAATATCGTCTTGACCAAGGTTTTTTTGCTAGGTTGGTGCTAACAATGCCGCCAAAAAAGGGAATGACTGTGGAGCAACGACGTGCTCTGCGACGATGGGCGCACTGCCAGGCCCCAAAATCAACACGAAAACGGTGCATTGAGTGGTTCGTAGCTGAGTACGGCTATCGATTAAGCCAGTCCACAGTCTCCGGGTCCTTGAGCAAGACCTTTGCGAAACTCGACGAAGCTCCAAGTACTACTGCGCTACGACAGCGAGCTGGAAACTGGCCTGACCTTGAGAGTATTAGAGCAATTTTGTTTTTTATTTTTTTTTGGATCATATTGTATTCAGCTATGGAGCTATGACAATATTAGAGCAATTAAAGATGGCAATTGGGAGTATAAAAGAGGTGTCAGACCAGTATCAGAACCCGGTGGAATTCGTATTCCTGAATTAATGTTTCGTGATTCATGTAAATTCCATTCTTCTAACATGATCGTAACATTATTGTCAGAATAATATGCCAAGCTGGTACCTGACATAATTTGTGGTTGCCTCAGGAAAACCTTGGCGTTTTGGGTAATTTTCAGCTAGAAAATGCTTGGCGTCCGTGTAACAGACGTGGTGGACTGGTATTGAGTCGGTTTAGGATTACATCTTGGCTACAACATGTTTGGATTGTATCCTGTGATGTAAGTAAGCTATTTCTAGATATTATCATCTTATGTCAGGTAGTAGATATGTGTAGATATATAAGCTAAGAGAAAGAGGAAGGAAGACAGACAGACAGACAATTATATCTTTTTATTTTACTTCAATTGAAAGCTCCTGTGCGAGCTATTCTTCCAGATACCTCTAGTCTCAATCATTACAGCTTCCGAACCAGCTCAAAAGGTTCGACAAGAGGCATCAAAAGTACAAAGTAGCCTAGATATTTGGATTAGACAATGATATCCTTTTAAACGATATTCCCTATATGACGATACTTTACGGCCCGATTACGTCATATTGACAGGGGTTTGATTGTATAACCTTTTTTAAAAAAAATCAATTAATGTGTATTCAGCTATAGAGCTTTGACACACGACTGATGCTATGTATACAAGATTGATAATGCTTGTGACGTTGGAGACACTCATACTCCGGATTTCATTTGCAAATACCACTTTGAGGTATGTTCGCTGATAGAAAAAGTCGACCCTCCTCCGTAAGTACAAACCAGAGGGAATTTTAAAAACTTCTAGTTTACTAAGTATGCCTTCGTCATCTATATATACCAGACCCACGATAAATGTGGTTATGTTGTGCCGGATTTGAACCAGCGATCTACTGTCTCGAGTAGGATATGTGTCCAAGTATCCAGACTTCGCTTGGCACACCGGCCGTGACAATTAACCACCGCACCATTCAACCATGGCAGCGTCTATAGTGTCGCCTGCACTTTCGCAACATTGTCTTGGCGCACGCACAAAGCTCAATTTGTGAAACTCATTGATAAAATTCCAAATTTCACGCCCGTCGAGATTGTAGCCTCACTATTAAATCATCTTGTAAAGCTATTCTGATTTCTCTCACGCCCATTCCAAAGAACTGTCTCCCAGATTTGTGCGCCACGCTTTGCTTCCTCCGTAGGATATAAATATCGGCGTTGGCGTACATTTGGTGGTCAACTGAGGCCAGAGAAGGTTGAAAGGAGGTGTGGTCAGTGAAAAGAGGATATTCTAAGTTTTATCTGTAAGCTCGATACGGTCTTGGTGGGGATCGATCCCTTTGGGTGAGGGGTATTGATTAGTTGGAGAATCTGGAATCATTGCCTCGTAGGCTGACATGATCGGTGTCGTGATTTGACTGAATTCAGCTTTGTTAGATTTCTCCACTATCAGATCAGTAGTCATCACTACTCAAGGGGATCTTCTTGTCCGATGTGTTTATTTCAAATCACTATGACAGCCAGAAGCGAGCTATTAATGTGCTATCAACACCATTCACGTGATATGTACAAACAAAAGTTTTACATAATTCTAATAGAGATCAAGTTGTAGGCTCGAAACGCGATCAACGGTTTCAATTTCAGCCAATGTTTTTTCGTTCTTCACTACTAAACACTCAGCTTGATGTCCATGATCTAAAATCAATAGCTTTAAGCACTTACAGAGTGCAGCGTTGGATTTCTATCAAGCAGAGACCTGATCTAGCCCCTCATGTGCTACTAAACGGCTGGTCCCTCTCTAAATTCCCTGAAAAACTAACGTGTTTACCTAACATTCATTTTAAAACTTCCCCAAGAATGTTAGGGCGAGCTGTAAAGGAATTTAACCCGCCCAATCCGAAACGCGACGTGTGTAAGGAATTGTTTTCCTCTAATGGTCTAGTAAAAGACAGAGATATTGGAGTGGAGCTTCAGAAACCTCGTGAACCGACACTGCTACATACTAGTCTGCCAAGCTATCAAAAAACCTCATCTTCTCAAACCAATTATATACCAAACGGAGGCCTGATCACAAATCAGAAACGTCCTTTAGCCCAGTCAAACTCACTTACCAAGCCATCAACTAGCACATCTAAAGGTCTTTATTCGGTTCTCTGTAAGCCAGATCCATTCGAAGAAGCACAAGAAAAGATTGATGCAAACCACATGAGCTCAATAAGTACTAGCTTCAACAAACACTTAGTAGAGTTCAATGAAGAAGATTTTGATGACGATGCCGACCTTGACCTTGACTGTGGCCCCTTACGGTCTACTTCACAACTTCAACCAAATGTTACAAATGAGTTACCCACCTCAACACATGACACGCTAAATATGGCTAAAGCTATATCGTTCTCTTCAAATCATCAACCCAGCAGCGCTATCAGCTGGCCCTCCTCATCGCCTTCACACAAATTAACTCCACCTGGTGTTAAAAATGGACAGAAAAGGGCAGCACATTCAAATATTGAAGATTCATCTCATCGAGCATCTCGATCTTCCAAGAGAAGAACTCTTCCTTGGATCCCAGAAGATACATTAGGTGAAATTTCATCAATAAGTGATAATCCTGAAATATTTTCCTCATCCGGCACTCTAAAGGATACTTCTTTCACAAAACAACCAAATTCTAATCAGGCCTCTCCCAATTCTGGGGATTTTGCCGCATCTGAAGAAGTCTCAGAAAAAGAACAGAAGATAGACCCACAAAAAAAATCTAGTAGAATCATGCCCTGGAACACTACCGAAAGTATGGTTAAAGAAACAAAGACGATATTTAAAAATGCGCGTAAAGCATCCAAGAGAGTCGGTAGGAAGTCAGGAGATAATATAGATGACCAACCGATCACGACGAAGCCAGTCGTGGCCCCATTCTCCTTGAGTGAAGAGCAGAAAAGAGTTTTAAATTTAGTTGTCAATAAATCTAAGAGTGTTTTTTTTACTGGATCTGCTGGAACTGGAAAATCTATCCTGATGCGCGCAATAATAACCGAATTAAAGAAAAAATATTGCAGAGAAAACGATCGCGTTGCGGTCACCGCATCAACGGGGCTTGCAGCTTGCAATATTGGAGGTGTAACCTTGCACAGCTTTGGTGGAATTGGGCTTGGAAAAGAGGATGTGGCAGCTCTTGTAAGAAGAATAAAAAAAAACCCCAAAGCAAGGAGTCGATGGATTAGAACTAAAATTCTTATAATTGATGAAATTTCTATGGTCGACGGTGAACTTTTCGATAAATTAGAGGGTGTTGCCCGTGCGATGCGCAACAATGGCCGCCCGTTTGGCGGTATTCAGCTCGTTATAACCGGAGACTTCTTTCAATTACCACCTGTTCCTGAACGTGATGATAATTCCAGGGCCGTGAAATTTGCTTTTGATGCAAGCACATGGTCAACAACTATCGATTACACAATTGGCCTTACCCAAGTTTTCCGTCAGAAAGATCCCATGTTTGCTAATATGCTAAATGAGATGCGCATCGGTAAAATAACTGATGAAACTGTAACAGCTTTCCAGAAATTAAACCGACCCGTGTCAGATCAAGGCCTAGAAGCAACTGAGCTGTAAGAACTCCTTCATCCAAAACAATATTAGTACTAAAAGATAAAAAGGTTTCCGACCCGTCATGAAGTTGACAAAGCTAATGCAACCCGAATTGGTAATTTGGGTGGAACTAGCTATAAATACGTATCACAGGACGGTGGAGCTATAAAAGACCCAAAATCACTCGAAAGACTGCTGTCAAACATGATGGCTCCTAAAGTTCTAGAACTGAAGAAAGGTGCTCAAGTTATGTTGATCAAAAACATGGATGAGAGTCTAGTTAACGGCACTCTCGGAAAAGTCCAAAGTTTTATGAGCGAGAAAGATTTTAAACATTTGGAAGATATCGAGGGAGGACTTGATGCTCTTGAATATGAGAGTGAGAATGATGCTGGCGGTAAACCCCGAATATCTACCAACGGAGTTTCCACGACAGGATCGGGAAGATTGTACCCGTATGTCTCGTTCAAATTAGCAGACGGTACCAAAAGAATGATGCTCATTCTTCCCGAAGAGTGGAAAGTAGAACTACCGAATGGCGAAGTTCAAGCACAAAGGTCCCAGGTACCCCTAATTCTTGCATGGGCATTATCTATTCACAAAGCACAAGGCCAAACATTAGAGAGGGTAAAGATTGACTTGAAGAAAATATTTGAAAAAGGCCAGGCGTATGTTGCTCTGAGTCGTGCGACGAGCCAAGCCGGTCTACAGGTTCTAAACTTCGATAAAGTTAAGGTCAATGCCCACCCAAGAGTTGCACAATTCTACAACAACTTGTATGAATCTAATCAGGCTCTAAAAGATTCAATCACCTAGGATATTATAGAAGGCAATTAAACCAAGGTTACTTCACGGCTTTATAAGTGAGAGATTTTCCATGCTTTCGGGTAAGATAGGAGCGCTGGAATTATGTGGCTTTACACTATCAATTTATTTATTTAATTTCAATGGGTTCTGGTTAGCATTGTATAAGAGCGTTTCTATTACTGATCATTTAAAGTGTATTCATATAGCTATGACTCACGAATATTGCTTTTCGCATATATTAGATACTTCTATAATCACCAGAGACACAAATACTCTGTATTTCATTCGCAAATTCCACTTGATGGTACGTTTGCTCAAACAGAAAAGTCACCCGTTCTCCGTGAGTATTCACTAAAGGGATGTTTTACAAGCAGATTATCCAAATATGCCTCCATCATTCTATATAAAAGCACTGCAAGCGATGTAGTCCAGTATTACTGTATATAAACTGGCAACCTCCTATTTCAAGTGGGATGGATGTGCAAGCTTGCTAGACTCTACTTGAGAAATCAGCCAGGATAATGTTTTTAATCCATTTAAATCCACTGTAAGTCAAAGACTATTATAGAATGTGCAATCCATTAGGACTGCATATTCTAATACCTACTACATGCAAGGTTATCCAATAATTTTTGATCCAGTCTTTTGATTGTGAATCTAGCCAGGATAATGTACTGCTGCGAAATCTAATTCTCAAGGCATCTACATTATCATATGTACTCTAGAAAACCAAGTCATGGTGCGCATAATATTCTTCGATCCGAAAAACTTCTCATCGTGTATTGATATAGTATTGAGTATTAAATTAATGACTCGTCATTCGGTTGCTTCGGTACTAGTAAATTCTACTGAACTTGGTACTCTGAAAACACTTTAGGTATAGGGCCCTAGAGCACTCTCGACAGGTATCTAGTCATTTTCTTCTAGCTACTGCATCTGGACCCCATTATCAGTTGGTCTGAAAGAATAAGCTTGCTTGATGACGATAAGTATCCCTTGTTTGGTGAGTGATTTTTTTTCCGCAAACAAGAAGTTCCAGGAACACTACTATGCAGCAGTTTTTAAATTTGTAAATCATATCACAACAATTTTTACCCAAAATTTTGGCCTCAAATTATTTTTAGATTTCTCCACCAGATATTCGATTGAGCTGGGCAATACAAGGTGTGCGCATATGCTATATGGGCTAACGAAGTGCTAAGTGGTGTTCTCTGGTATAGTTTGAGTAGCCTGGGTACCTACTCCACTTGGGAAGGAGACACCTAAGACCATATTTCGCGCGAAGAGAAGTTGAAAGATGATGGAGGCATGTATGGATGACTCAGGGTTTTTGAGACGTTCCCCTGGGAGGGTATTCACGGACGAGGGTTGACTTGGGTGAAGAAAAAGCCGCCATAACTTCGCAGTGGTACTTGCGAATGAAATCCGAGGCATGAGTGCTCTTCCTTTACGTTGAATCATCTATTCTATACTTTTCTTTGATTTTGTGTCATAGCTAGATAGCTGCATACGCAATTAAAATCTGATACCAAAAAAAATAACGAAGTGCTATAATGTCATATTGTCAAAATGTTAACCCCCTGTACAGACTGTATGGGTCATCCGAATCCTTTCTGTCTATAAGACAAGGATACCTATGCCTTGGGCAATATATCCTTACATGTATCACCCCTAGCTTCTTCGCGACTACTTCACCCTCATCAAAGTCCTCATTCAAATATATAATCAGAAACCCTTAATTTCTCCTTATTTGACGTTTACAATCAACCAGATAAGGGCCACTTGCGGGTGTATGACAGCCGGTAAACCTTTTTAAGACAACTAGAAGCGAGGCTTCACTAACACAGATATTATAAAAATGACAGAGTTATATGCGAAGTACGACTAGAGTTTCTAGACTCTAAGGACATATCACTTAAAAAGTATTCGGAGTGGAGTTGATAGATCAATAATAAGATGGCAGAATTGTATTGTTAGACCAAATTGGTACATCTCAGGCTGCAAGTAACACAGAGTTTCCTTTGCTATTACTCAGCTGGTACGTCTCACTTTAATCGAGTTCCTCACTTGAAAGTAAGTTAGACAGAACATGTTCCTACGCTCCTACAGATCTCGATTACTGGTGTGGATTGAGATACGTGTTATAATACTAGCCACTGGATTAAGAGCAGTCGTAGTCTACGAACCATCCGACACCTGATTCAGGTTTTCAAGATACATGCCTGCTGCTGGCTAACGCCTTAGCATGGTCTTACTGGTATCACAAGTTCTAACAGATATCAGAGCTTAATCTGAAGATTGGATTATACTGTCTGACATTTTCGAGAAGCTGGCTGGTCGGGCACTGCAGACTTTTTTAAAGAATCAAATTTTGATTGTATATGCAGCTATCTAGCTGTGACACAATATTAGAGAGAAAGCATAGAACAAGTTGCTCTATTTATAACTAGAGCTCTCGTGACTCGGATTTCTTTTGTAAGTACCACTGCGGAATTTTGGTGGCTTTCTCATCACCCTAAGTCAACCTTCATCCATGAATATCCACCCAAGGAAACTTCTTAAAAACCCTGGGTTATCCAAATATGCCTTCATTATTTATTGACTTTTCTCCGCGCGAAATGTGGACCGATTTGCCTCCTTCGCAAGTGGAGTAAGTGCCCAGGCTACTCAGACTATGCCGAAGAATATCTCCAGGCGGACCACGGCACCATCCATAGCTGACTTGTGCACATAGCATCACATACATCCTTTCCATCGAAGTCTTGGCACGCAAAAGCTCAATTCGTGAAACTCCTTGTCGAATTTCAAAATTTCACACCCGTCGACATTGTACCCATCCTATGAATCATCTTGCAAGTTTGTCCTGATTTTTCTCACGTCCATCTCAAACTGCTGTCTCCCAGATTTGTGCGGGACGCTTTGATTCCTCCATCAGGTGTTAATATCGGCGTGCGCGTGTACTTGGTGATCAGCTGAGGCCAGAGAAAGTCGAAAGAGGTATGTTCTTTGAAGAGGATGTACTAGATCGTACTTGTAACTTTAATGAGGATTTGGTGGGAATCGATATCATTGGGAGGGAGAGGTAGGTTTGGTGGAGAGATATAAATTATTGCCTTGTGGGCCACTTCAGACTTTGCGAAATATGGTGCGAGATAGAAGTTCGCAGCAGACATAGCTGAAAGGCCTTGAGGTTTCGTCCCACAACGGCAAATTACTATGATAATTCTCTAGCTTTGTGTCCTACGCCGAAATCATCTTTCCAAGCTACTATGAGAGTTTGAATTTTGCGTTTTTTTATTGAATTAGTCATGAGATTTAACTATGCAAAAGTCTGATTCTTTTATTGTATAACATTCCTAATCTGTAGTACTTCATGTCAGCCTTTAGTAAGAAATAATTCTGTTGACTAAATACTGGCAGAGATTTGAACTCTGCCTGTTTTGAGAGAATACAATATTCAAGTTCTGTGCTCCAAACGATAATAGCTTGGCACGATTAGTGACGCTTAAGCCAAATTCGACACATCCCATAATCCTGGGCATTCCAAGACCAAAGAAATCTCGGTTTACAGCTAAGCAATTCACTTCTTATCATCAGATCTTAACAGAATCAGACCTATATTCCAACGTCTATTTAACTTCGCACATGAAAATTAGACAAAGATTTTCATCAGCGGTGTTGAAGATGTCGAACAACTTTATTGGCCTTATCATGATAGTGACACTTACGTCCCCATCCGGAGCTCAACTTAAAGGAGTAGTAAGTGGAATTGAGCCTGGTAGAAGCTTGACACTGCGTGATGGTAAGTTAATTACGACCATAAAAATTGGAGATGACTGAATTATAAAATTACTAGTTACTTGTCCTGCTACAGGAAAATACATATCTGAGTACACAATTAAAGCCTCAGAGATACAAGAATTAGTTGAAGCTCAGTCGGATAACCTTCAATCCTATGAAGAGAGAGAATCAAAGGCTTTTGATGACCCAGCTATCCTCAGTGTGGGAAAACGACCCAACAACATTCCCAAAACGTCACCCCCGTTTAATGATCTAGGTTCTAAGATGCATGTTAGGTCAACCGAGACAGTGATAGAACGCAACCTTCAAGATACGTCTCCGACAGTAACATCAATTGACCACAAAAGAAGGTTCCCTATCCGGGAAAAAACTGATGAGAGCGAGGTAATTACGCAAGAGAGTCAAGAAGGTGAGAATATGCCATCACAGTCCTCAGGGCCGGATATAAAAGCCAAGAAACGGGCAGAAAATCGTCTTTTGCGGCCACCTCGGGCCGGAGGACGGAAAGGGCGAAAGCAGGACGACGACCACAGCCAAAACCCTACAGTTGATCCCTCTAAACCTATTTCAAGATCTAAAGGCTGGAGGCAAACACCCCTACTTGAACCCACACCATCATTCCAGCCATACTCAACTCTAAAGCAAAAAGGACGTCGCCGTGAAGACGAGGAGTGGGGAACAGATAATGCCACTGATGTACAGGAATTGGGTGATTTTGATTTCCAGGGTGGCCTCGCAAAATTTGACAAAAGCTCGATTTTTAATCAATTTTTAGCTGAGGATGGCACAGCGGATGAAGATCGATTAGTTACACATAATCGCATCCCCAAGACCAAGTCAGGAACTGCGGGTGGTAAGAATCTACATTATTCCGAGAATGTGCTCGGAAACAATAAGTCGAACAATGTTACACCAAAGACAAAAACAGAATTGTGGATTAGAGAACACATAGATGTTAGTGAGGATCAAGAAATTGGGCAGAACGAACGAGCTATGTGCCGGGTTGAGAGAAAATTAAGCATTCCTAGACGTCGATTAGAACTGAAGCCCTCCTCCGAGAAGGGCAGCACTAATCACACCATGCCGCCTTCTCGAACCCTTTCTGTGAGCGATAGCCTCCCTACTATATTTGGCACATTCACTAAAATTTATCAATTTCGAAGGCTGCTATGAACTCAACATTTTTTACTCTCCCATCAAATCGTCGTTGTGAACCAGTATCACCACTTCAAATGCTTAATTTAGAAAACATCGCGGACAACGAGCTGGGACTCTCGGAAGATATGATGACTGAAAATGCAGGACGCGGTATCGCCGAGGTTGCATTTGCGGCTCTTGGTAACGCTGATGAAAGGCCAATAAAAAGCAACAACTTCCTCAACTCTACTGTCATCATACTTGCAGGAAATAATAAGAAAGGGTTTAGAGCAGTAGCAGCAGCTCGACATATTTTGAACCACAAGTTTAATGTCGTATTGTGCGTTCTTGGCCCTGATCAGGAATCTGATTTCCTTGTAGGACTAAAACGCCAAATCAAAATATTCCGATGCTTTGGTGGCACTGTGTTAAACAAAGATGAGCTTTTTGAACATATAAAGCTGCTAGAAGCACCGCCTGATCTTATTATAGATGGTCTGCTTGGACTTACTATCTCATTTGAAGAGCTACGTCTTAGTGATCAGTCTATAGTTTATGAACTCATTACATGGGCAAATAGAAGTAAAGCTTCTGTGCTGGCAATCGATGTTCCAACCGGTATTGACCCAATGAATGGGGAAATTAGCATTGTCGATGGAACGCGGTTATATTTACACGCAAACTATGTTGTAGCTATGGGAGCTCCAAAAAAAGGTTTACTCGAAGCTATGGCTATATGCCAAGATGACTTATTAGACAAGGGACGAGGAAATAGCTCGGAATGGCAGCTATTTGTAGCCGATATTGGTCTGGGTGCCGCAGCCTGGAAAATTGCAGGTACTAAAATCCGGAGAGGTATCGAATTTGATGGCAGATGGGTCCTAGAGATGCGGTATCAGAGGCAATCTGAAAAATAAGGCTACTATCACGCAATTAATATTCGTGGCATCACTACCAGTTTCAGCACGGCGTCTGTGGCGTTGAATCGCTCTGACTACCAAAGATTGAGTGGGGACCGTTTACTGGAGGTGCATATTTAATTTTTGGCAAGATTCGCATAGCAAAACGATAATTCTGAAAACCCCCAATGAAAGAGACCCAATTTTAGCTGCAAACATAACAAAGGCAATTAAAGTTATATATATATAGATAATGGACTTATTCAGCAAAATATTAAACTTAGTCTTGTGACGGCTAGTATGCCGGTATAATCCCTGTAGCCTGTGCTATTCAGCACAATCATATTCAAGATGTCAGCGCCAAGTTACGCTCATATTGAAAATCTGAACTGTCCATGTTTGAAACTTTGTTGGTAACTAGCCCTCACTTTGATAATGGGATTACGACTGGACGACAGCTACTAGTATTTTGAATATTGGAATCATGTATATATAAGGCGTTAAATGTAGCAATACCTTTGTTCTTCAGTTGATAAATAAATTGTTGGAATTTAGAATAATTGGGGCTATCAAGTAGGCCACATTGTTGGTACACACGTGACTACGGATTCTGTGCTTAGTTTCACTTCGGTAATTACTTGAATCAATGCGCCCTACAACCTCAATGACTGAGGGGTCATTATTTCCTTTACAGGTGTTGTTGTATTTTTAAAGTCCTGAGCTAGAGTATAAAGCTCTACATCCTACTATTGGTACCGGACCAGTGGAGCCGTTAAGGATCACTGTATACAGGCCCAACTCATTCCAACCGCGTGAACTTCCACATAAATGGTGGTGTTAACAGCAATACTAAAATCAAAAACAAAAATCAAATTTAGAAGAAATCCCTGTAGGTCCGTAACCCGCGCTTCTCGCCCGTTCCCTTTCCTGTCACATCTTCCAAGTGACAATTTCTGACCTTCGCTGAGAGCAGACGGTGAGCTCGCAGGCACCCTTTTTCCATCTGGTTTCCTACTGTTAGTGTGTTGAAGCCTCGAAGACTTCACTGAGGCTGGACGTAACCTTAAACCTCGTCTTCGGATCCCAGAATTCCAAAACACGATCCGTCTGACATATAGACATCGTTCTGTGCGCCGTGAATCGCCTGAATGGCTATTTCGGCTGCAGCTCTGATGCGAGTAAAATCTGCGTGATTTTTCTGCTCGACCTTGCGAATCATCGCAAGCTGCTCTTTTTTCACCGGGCCGAACTTGTTGGGTCTGGCTTTGCAGTACCGGAAGTCCGATCGATGAGGTCCCCCACAGTTTCGACACCGTGTGGGGGCTTTGCACTCCGTTTCCGAGTGCATTTTTGATCCGCAGTTCCAGCAAGCCGGAGCGCGGGAGCAACTGCGTGAGGCATGGAAGCCAAGACATCGATTGCACTGAACTATTTTTCGACGAGGTTGGAAGAGCTTTGTAGCTCCGGAGTCATCGAAGAGGCGAAATCTAGGTCGGGGCGTGGATTCGCGAGGGAAGAGCGCTTGCCAGCTCTGGTAAGGCGCCCCGGGTTTGCTGGTCCCATGAGGACGAATAAGAAAAGGAAATGATTTGGTCACTCGCATGACTTCATCGGCGACCATCTTTTCCGTGACGAAAACGGAACCTGTAAGTGTATTAATTCTCAGCGGTACGGTGGCAATTAGTAGGGCAACTAGATTTGACGCTGGTTCCAACTTAATTCCTGATTCTCTCCGTTCTACGAAGGAATCAGGGAGCTGCTTTCGAGCGAGTTCATCCTTTGCTATTAGAGCAAAGCCTATTTTGACCCGCTGGACTAAAGTGATATTGTTGGCTGCGGTACCGAGTGCCTCTGAGAAAGCTGATCTTACGCCAGCTGGTGCTAGGAGTCGGTAGGGATGGTCGTAATCGAGGCGTATAAACAGTCGCGTATCGACCGCTGTCCTCGTATTGGCTCCTTTTGCTTTTGGGGCGGGCGGAGCTGCCTTTTTTGTTGATGGCCCAGTGCTGTGGCCAAGGCCTGCTCGGACTACATTCGCCCAGGTTGTCTTTTGGGCCGGAGCTTGGGTTGTCGGTGGGTTAGGTACCCGTTTTTCAAGAGCCCTCGGCGGAGGAGGGTTGCTGGGGGCACAGGGAGAGCTGGCGGAGTGCTCCCTGGGCCTGACTGTACGAACTGGCCAATGGCCGCTCGAAGGTAGACTTTGATGCCTTCTACAAACTCTTTTTTGTCGCCAATCGAGAGAGGCGAAAGTGCTGCTTCAACACTGCTTATTGCAGTGGAACAGATTGATAGACGGGTCTTGATTTGCGTCGTGCGACGCTTCTCGGCCTCCATCACTGATTGCAGCTCCGGAGGATATTCCGGTGCTGATGTCGAAGCTGTGCATTCTGAAGCTGATATTGAAGGGTGGTGATGTATATGGTTGTATACACTTGGTATCTTCAATTAAATGGTTGTGACAACTCAGGGGGCTTAGAATATACTTGGGTGATTATGGCAATAAAATGTTACGGGATGCGAATGGTATCTTATTGTTTGTTTGTTTTTTTTATTTTTTTATAAATTTTAGGTCCTAAGCTATGCTCTATATCTCCTAGGAGTCAAGGACCAGTGTACACAGCCAAGATCATGCTTCCAACATGCCCGACTCGGTCTCACTGCGTGACCCACTACACAACCAGTAGCTAGTTATAAGAAAGAATATAAATGCTCCCACAGACTCCCATAACCAAAATTCCAAATCCAATACTCCAATTTGAGGTGGGAAAGCGACACTCCTCCTCTTGTTTTCCTTCCTGTCATGCTTCGTGCTATGACCTAGTTAATGTTGTCTCCGCCGAGAGCTGGTGACGGACTTGCAGGTGAGTCGCCGAAGCAGCCGGTTTCCTGCGCAAATTTTGTAGAATCCTCAAGGCACTTAGGCCCGAGAAGCTTTTGGACAAAGTCGTGATGTGACATTGTTCCTCGGAGTCGACGCATCTGACGTTCGTGCAGTCGACAGTGAATGAAGTGGAGAGGTGATGTTTCCTTTCCACACGCACACTCCATGGAAGCGGTGAAGTTGTTGAAACGACGGTGACATGCAGCGAAGTTTCCGTGTCCCGTTCGGGCTGAGATCAGTTCACGGAGTAACCGCTGAGAAAGTGCCTGCTCCTGTGGCTTGCGTCGTCGCATGAGTAGACCCAGATTTCGATACCTAGGTGGACATGCTTCCTCCCACCATTCCTCGAGAAGAGCTTGACGTTTCTGATTCATCAGACGACGAACGTACGCCAAAGTGACGGAGCCAGGCTGGCTCTCTTTACTTGGAAGTTGTCGGAGGCCGGAGCGTGCAACTCTATCAACCTCTTCGTTTCCCTGTATCCCAGAGTGGGCTGGTATCCACTGAACCAAGACTCGAGCCTTTTCTGATAGCGCCCTAAATTGGCGTACATCGTCGAGACTTGTTGTGGCGGTTCCCGTCAGCAGTGCCTTCACTGCAGACTGACTATCCGTCAACACGTTGATCCACTGCCTGCCGTTACTTCTCCCGTTCTCTCTCTCCAACAATCCTAGCGCAGCTTCCAGGGCCTTCCTCGCCCCGAGTATTTCCGCATCGAGCACTTCACCATCATGCTTGACACCACATCCATTCAATAGAGTCTTTCCATCCCCCTTCAAGACGAACCCCCATGCTGAGCGATAATGCCCCTCCGACGATCCATCCGGGTAGGCACAGATATCCGATGGCAATACACCTCTAAGGAACCGAGTTACCTTGTCCTCCTCTTCTGTCCTTGGGCCGAAGTTCGACAAATAGTATGGCGGCGGCAGAGGCTTAGCGTCTTCTGCGTCCGGGAGTTGTCGGTAGGCCCGCTGCCCTCTTGACATCTGGATCTCCGGATTCTTGGGTGCCCGAGCATTTTTCTTGTACTTCCTTGTTCCATTGTTTGGACACACGGCGGCACGAGTCCGGAGCGGGTGGCGGTTGTCCAGTGAGTGGAGCCGAGCCGAAAGCCGTAGTCGGTTCCCTTCCAGGATGATCTTCCCTGCTGGGATACCTCCTTCTCGGTGGAGAACAAGATTCGGTATAGTTCTCATTACCGGGAGGGCAGCGCGCAGTCCCGTCAAGATTGCCTTGTCAATCATCTCACAGAAAATTCTGGTTCGAGGTGTGATGATCCCCCTTTTGGTCGGAAGTTTGAGGCCGGGCCACCAAACATCTGCTCCGAAGGTTGCTATGGGGACAGTGCACGTGTCCACTGCTCGAACCAGTGCTGCAGGGGCAGCTCCTCGATACGCAGAGTTGAAGCGGCGCATTTGCTGGGCCACATTCAGAGCTTTGCCACACCACGTCGTGACGTGATGTTTGAAGTCCAGCCGCGGGTCTAGGTGTACTCCGAGCCAGCGTATTTGGTCTGCTGGCTCGATAACCACGCCGTTCACACGAATGCCCACTGGCTCCTCGCGTTTCCGTCCGGGAAACTGGACTACCTCCGACTTGTTAGTATCGAAGGAGACTGCATTGTTACTTGCCCACTCCAGAAGATGATCGACTTCCTTCTGTACAGAAGCGGCCGACTCGGCAATGCTACGCCCGAGTCCTAGTATCCCGATATCGTCTGCGTAGCTGAACCTCATTCCCGGGTTGCCGCTTCGCATAGGCTCTGCCATGTATAAAAGGAAGAGAAGTGGCGATATCGGTGATCCCTGCGGAACCCCACAAACCAGCTCTCTCTGCCCGGTTACCCCTCCAGAGTATCGGACTTGTACCTTTCGATGTACAAGAAATGAAGCCGTCCATCGAAGAATCGAGTCTGGCCACCCCTGCTCTTGCATCCTCCTCACCAAACGGTTGTGGAGTACTGCATCGAATGCGCCTTGGACATCGAGAGTCGTGAATGTGGCCGCCCATCCCTGGGTGCTTGCCTCTTCGATGTCGTGGACTACGCAGTTGACAAGGTCGTTTGCCGACCTCTTAGGGAGCGCTCCGAATTGTTGGTATCCGACAACGTCGAGCGTTACTGCGAGATGGGCCA